TCATCATCGTTATCATTATCATCATCAGCATCATAAGCATCGGCATCAGCATCATCATCAGCATCATCAGCATCATAATCGTTATTGTTATCATCATCATCATCATCAGCAGCAGCAGCATCAGCATCATCAGCATCATCATCATCATCATCATCATCATCATCATCATCATCATCATCATCATCATCATCATCATTATCACTATTATTAATTAGCATCGTCGTCATCATCATGCGCCCGAGGCCAAAACCCTCCAGGGGCAGCGAGCGCTCCAGGCCTGCGAGCGTTCGCTTTGCTACGGGCGGCCACGGGGCGGAGTGACCCCAGGGTGTCCCGCCACAGTGTCCCAATTCCAGCCATCCGACGGCGAGATTGTTTCAATGCGCGGCCGTAGAGGTCCCGACCCTTCCCCAGGGGTAGTTTCCTGTCCCGGACTCGCTTCTGATTGTCCTGGGGCCCAATGATGGGACGATTTCCGACTTTCGCCTTCGCTTCCAAGCCAGGCCATACCGTACCGGCCATCCTCGTTTCCCTCATCCGCTCCGCCTGGCGGCAGCGGGTGGGGGACCAAAAGGCTGGGTAGATGTTCCCATCGCTATCGTGTTCCGACGGTGCCCCAGACAGTCTCTGGGGCAGTTAATGGCTACTATTTGGCAACGCCTTGGCAGTGTTCCGATTGACCTCCGACGGTTGCATGGCAGATTGTTCGATTGCGCCCCCCCACTTCACCATCGATTATTTCACGCTTGATGCGCGATTGAGCCGAGGGATGCAGGCATGGATGCAGACACGCCACTTGAAGGCAGCCAATAGGTGTCTGTTGACCAGGGGGGCGCACCAGTTGAAGAGGTGCCAGGTGCCAGTGCCAGCATAGGGTGATGCCAATTTGCCCGCGGGCACAGGTAAGTCATGCACGCACAGCGAGTGGTGGAAAACGTATACCTGATATTTCAATGATTGGCAGCAGGAGTTGGAAACAAGTGCGGACCCAAGCCCGTTCACGCCCTAAGCCTCCTCATTGACCACGGGCCAGTCTAATAGGCATCTCCCTTCTTTTCGTTTCTCTCTCTCTCTCTTCTATCTCCTTCTCCCTTTCTCGCTCCCTCTCCCTCTCGTTTTCTTTTTGTTGTCTCTCTCTCTCTCTCTATCTCGCTCTTTCTCTCTCTCTCTTTTTCTCTCTCTCTCTCTCTCTCTCTGCCCCTGTCTCTCTCCCCCTGTCTCTCCCCCTGACTCCCGCTTTCTGCGTCGCTATCTTTCCCATCATGTTCCATCGAAGACGCCTCAGGCGAATCGGCGCCACCCCTTGCCTTCTTGGGGATGCCTGGGTGGTGACATGTGAAACGAGAGTGTGGCCACGCTAGTGGGCTGTGTGTGGCGCCACCAGCACCAGAGAAAAGACAGCGTGTTTGATGTCTTCCAGGGGACGGCTCCCAGAGTTCATCATGCAGCAAATTCTTCGCAAGGGGGGCGAAGGCACGTTCGCCTGAGTGGTAGGCCTTGGCAGTGGCAGAAGCCCTTGTCGGAGGCCTTGGCAGTCCTGACTGACCCTAGCCGTTGGGGAATCCACTGGAGGACACTGGGGAGGGACCCTCTCGGGCTGTCCTGGGGCTGTCACTCCTTTTCCGACCCTGTTGATATCCCTTGGAGCATTACGGGGCCCTCCTGGGCCTTCTTGGGGCTCTTTTGAGTCGTCGTAGGGCGCGTTGGGGCCGTCTGGCGTCTTCAGGGCCGTCTTGAAGGCCTTTCTGGGACGTCTTGGGGCTCTCTTGGGGCAATGTAGGGCGTCTTGAGGCTCGATTTGACCCTTTTGGACCGTGTTGGGGCCCTCTTGCGCCATCTTGAGGCCCTCGTGGGCATTCGTGGGGTCCTCTTAGGGGCTTGATTGGCCGCCTCGGCTGTCGAAAGCCAGGGAAGGCGAGAGCGCGAATATCGTTCCAAATTCTGTGGGAAATCGGTGGGTTTGGCTTCTTGGGCCCTCTGGGGATCCATTGGAGCCTCTTGGCCGTCTTGAGACGGTCGCGGGCCGCGGTGGGGCAAAATTGGGTTGGATGTGAGCCAGTGTAAGCCAATTTGGAGACCTCTTGGGTCTTCTTGGAGGCCGTCAGGGGACCGCATTGGGTAGTCTTGCAATCCGTAACGTGTGACGCCTCGTGTCACAGGGCTTTGGAGAGCCGTGGCATGCGACACACTCCGCGCCCTGCTGCCTGCGGCGAGTCCCGCCACCGTGCCAGCCCAGCGCCTTGGGTGGCGACTGCTCGAGTGGCGCACAGGAGGCCGTCACGTGCGACACCTCGTGTCACAGGGCTTGGGAGAGCCGCAGCATGCGAACAGTATCAGGGTTTGTTGGCGGTTCTCGTTTCGTCTTCGTCGTATTCCTCCCCTTCTTCCGTCCGTTCCTGGGCTCTTGTGGGGCAGTCGCTCAGGTCCCTGGGGCCGAGTTGGGCCGTCTTGGGGTCCTCTTGGGGCTCCCTTGGGCTACATTGGGGCCCTCTTGGCCGTCTGGGGGCTAGGTTGCGGCCGTCGCGGGGATCCCTTAGGCCGTCGTAGGTTCCTTTGGAGACCTTCATGGACCAGCTTGTAGCTCTCTGGGGGCCGCCTGGGGGCCAGCTTGGGCTGTCTTGGGGCCGTCTTGGCTTATTTGGCAATTGTGGGGCCCTCTTGGGCCGTCTTTGAGCGATCTTGGAAGCATCTACGTAGGGCCGTCTGGAGCTGAAGGAAGCCAGCCTCTTCTTGGCCTCTGGGGGCCTCTTGGGCCGTGCCAGGACCCTCTTGGCCCGTCTGATGCCTTCGGTGCCCGTCTTGTGGGACTCTCTGGACCATCGTGGAAGTCTCTTGGGATCGTCCTAGGGACCTCGTGGGGGCTTCTTGGGCCGTCTTGGAGCTAGATTGGAGGCCTCTGTGGCAGTCTTCGGCTTTCAGAAGCCCGACAAGGTGAGACCACGAAAATCATACAACAACTTTGGGGGAATCACTGATGTTGGCCTCTTCGGGCTCTCCTACAAGGCCTCTTGAATCGGAGCCCTCTCGGGGCGTGCTGGGGCCTCTTGCGCCGCCCTGAGGCCATCTTGGGCCGTATTGGATCAGCATCGGTTCGTCTTGGGACAGATTGGAGCCGAGTTGGTTTTCTCGGAGACATGTTTGGACCGTCTTCGACGCCGTTCTGGCTTGGTCTTATTAAGGGGCATATTGGGAGCATCTTGGGCGAGAATCCATGGGAAGCCTCTCTTCTGGGTGGCTGGCGGGTTGTGCCAGAGGCCATTGAGAATTTGTTGGAAGGGCCCGTAGTTTAAAATTCCGCACACCACGCACCCCTTGGGCAAGCAGAAGGGGGCGGCGGATTGGTGGCCTTCGGACCAGCCCGCCTCGGTGCCTGGGTCGTGGACAAGAGGCCTCTTGGAGGCCTCTTAAGGTCTCGTGGGGCGGTCCTTTGGAGGCCTGTTGGGGTCTCTTTGAGACCTCTTGAAGGTCTCTTTAGGCCCTCGTATCTTCCGGCAGGCACGGGATGAAGAGAAGCCGCGGGCAGTCCGGAACGTTCTGAGGGCATTCCAGAGCGCTTTGCCACGGCTGCGGCGCTGGATACATCCTCCAAGCCCGCTAGTTCTCAGAGATTCCCAATCTGTCTTCACTGCCTTCGTCCCGCACCTTGGTTTAAGTCGGGCGTGTCCCTCTAAAGGGGGAATCTTCAAAAATAGTCAAAGAGATTGTCTGGGGACGATTTTTTGACTATGTTTGACTATTTGGGGGCATATTTTGTATTTGTTATTTCTCGCACAAAATCCGCCTGTAGGGGGACATGCCCGACCTAAACCTTGGTGTTCCTGCTCGGATCTCCCTTCGCTTGCAGCAGCCGGGCGAGGCGAGAGCCGACAACGGCGTGCCGCCGCTATACCTCGCCGTGCAGGAGGGCCACACCGAGGCGGCCCAGCGGGGGGCGCCCAGCCGCGCCAAAGGGGGGGGACGGCAGCGGCTTGTCGGCGGCGCAATGTTCCCGCGACGTACGTGGGCCCGCAGACAAGCCGGCCACGGCGATACAGTGAGGCCGTGCATCAAAAAGCCATCTGATTTTCGTCTGGGCATCCTGGGTTTCTTCGCTCCGCGAGCTGCGCGGTGACTTCCCGCGGCCGCTGCTTGTCTTTCGTCGGGCCTGGCCCTCTACAGGAGGAAAATTCAAAAATCGCATTCAAAAATTGGCCAGCGGCTATTTTTTGTATCGTTTGATCCTTTTTGAAAATGTTTTGGCTGCGTTTGATTTTTCGCCCAGGGTCCCCCTGTAGGAGGACATGCCCGACCTCCTGCCTGTCGGCGGCGCCATTTCCCCGCGACGCGGGCCCGTAGACGAGCCGGCCACCGCGACGTGTGCGCGACGCCCGGGTCGGGGGGGGTGGCGCGGGTCGCGCGGGCGTCGCGGCTGCCGCCGCGCCGCTCCCGAGCGGCCCCCGCGGCAGGCGGCCCCCCACTGTCGGGGGAGAAAAAGATACGGATACGTGTTGTCCCCCTTCGTTTTCGGCCTTTCCTGGCCCTCCTGGGGAATCCTCGTTGTCACCGCTGGATTCGCCTCGAAATTCTGGTCAGAACGCACCCCAAGAGAGGTCCGGGGACAACACGTATCCGTATCTTTCCGCCCCCCAACACTGCTTCCGCGCCGCTAGGCGTCTATCCCCATCCCCAGTGGGCCAGGGCTCCTGCACGCTGCCAGCCCACCGCCTCTGGGTAGGGGGCGCGTCAGGCGTACCAGAAGGGCCCTGGCATCCGAGGATCGAAGGAGCTGATGCCTCTTCGATGGCGGAGGATGTTTTAAACAGGCGGAAGTAGAAAATACATCCCCATGAGATGACAAGATGTTTGGGTGCAGGGTTTCCAGAAGCCGCCACGTGCCACTGATTTTGACGGAAGCTGCATATTTTCCCACCTATGGAAGGGATCAGGACGATTTCTGCGACCAGCATGCTGTTGGTGGGCAGCACGAGCCACCACAGCACCGCGCGTAGCACGAGCTGTTGGTGGCAGCATGCTGTTGGTGCGACCAGGGCAACCAGGGCCAGTCCGACCAGCACGACCCCCGCGCGCTTACTATGCGGGTGTCACGCCGAGTGGCGCGCGCCGTAATCTTCCTCCTCCTCCTCCCCTCCTCCTTATTCGCCTTGCCCCCATCCTCATTGTCCTCCTCATCCTCCTCATCATCCTCGTAGCCCTCCTTATTATGCTCCTGCTTCTCCTCCTCCTCCTCCTCCTCCTCCTCCTCTTCCTCCTCTCCTCCGCCCCTTTTCCTTATTCCTGTCACACCCCTAGACGCATCCGTAGGGCGGGCTGGGCGTTCCGCTTGGGAGTTTCTGACCAATGATGAGTTTGAAGCTTTATGGGGTCCTTTTCAACAGTTGCCTCTCGCCTTAGCGCCGCGCACATCTATTTTTAAAGCTTGCAGCAGCTTCAAGGATGGAGGGCGGGTGGCTTTCCAAATGTGAGTCTCACTTTAGCGCCGCGCACATTCGTTTTAAAAGTCTGCAGCGGCTTCAAGGATGGAGAGCGGGTGGTTTGCAAATTGCGGTTCTCGCCTTCGTCTTAAAAGTCTGCAGCGGCTTCAAGGGTGGAGGGCGATTGGTTTTCAAGATGTGGTTCTCGCTGTAATGCCGGTCCCATTCGTCTGAAAAGCTTGCAGCGGATTCCAGGATTGAGGGCGGTGCCTTTTCGGTTCTCGCCTTGGTGCCACGCGCTTTTGTTCCAAGAGCTCGCAGCAGTTTTGAGGATTAGCGCTGAAGTCCCAGGAATGGGGTTCTGTCACGACTTAGGATTGTGAGGACGCCCAGTAACGTTGATTCGCGGCGTTGAAGTCCCAGGAATTATAGTTTGGCTCGACTGAGGAGACTCATGCGCGTGTCTTTCAATGGAGCACTGCCCGCCATGAAGGTTCTTTCTGGTAGGGACATATGAAGAGGGAACCTGGAGCGAGGGTTTGCTGCAACATCGTTGGTGCGTCTTGGGTTTGCACTGGCCCTCATCCTCCTCCTGCTCGTCCTCCTGGGCATCAGCCTACACTTGTTGAGGACTTCGCGGCAGAATTTCGGCCAATATTGCCGTCCTCCTCCTTTCCTCCTCCTCCTCCTCCTCCTCCTCCTCCTCCTCCTCCTCCTCCTCCTCCTCCTCCTCCTCCTCCTCCCTCTCCTCCTCGTCCTCCTCCTGCTCCACCTCCTCCTCCTCCTCCTCCTCCTGCTCCTCCTTCTCCTCCTAGCGAGCGGCCATAGACCCCACAGGGTCTCGTCGACTCTGGCGGATGGGGTGTGCGCCAGAGGTCGTTGGGACTCGCAGCGAAGGGTACCAGCGTGGCGCTGCAGGCAACCGTCGACGACGACGACGACGACGACGACGACGACGACGACGACGACGTGAGCTGCAGCCGAAAGCGTGACCGCTGCAGGTGGAAACGAGTTGCAAATCCTCCTCTTCCTCCGCCTCCTCCTCTTTCTTCCCCCTAGTATCGAATGGCGGCGCTGCGAGAGCGGATCAGAGTCCGCGAAGCGCAGGCCGAGGAGATGCAGGGCTCGGGGGAGGTGCCCTATCTCTGGCCCCGGGCGGACTCCTCATCCTCCGCCTGGGTGGCACGAAGGTCCCCTTCTGACTGGCGCCTCAACCACTCGGTTGTTGGTTTGACTTGCGAGTCCTCATCTGACATCCCTGTCATCTTGCTTTCTTCATCCCCCTCTTTCTCCTCCCTCTGGTCGAAGATCGAACAACGTTATTGATAATATCGTTTGGAGATTCGCGTGGAGTTGCGTGGGCAGCGACGGTCGCTCCCTCTGTCACCTCCCCCTCCTCCCCCGTCATCTCCTCCCCTCCTCTCCGCTGTCACTTTCGCTCAGTGGCAGCCTCGGGGGAAGGTGGCTCGCGATGGCGACGAAACATGCAGCCACCGACGACGACGCCTTCGACGGCGCACTGGCGTCGCTGACCGCGGTGCGGCGGGACGAGGTCGCCCGAGCGCGCGACGCGCAGGCTCGGCTCGGCCACGCGCAAGAGTGGCCACTCGCCGGGGCGACCTCTGCCGCGAGCCCACACGGAGCCTCCCCGCGGCCTGGGATCGGCACGCGTGCCTCCCTGGTCGAGCCGGACGGGCGTGTGCGCCTTGTCGCGGGCCCCTGGGTGGGCCTGGCCAGGCTCGGCGGCGTGGTTTGGTCGACGTCCCCCGAGCAGGGGCCCCCCCGAGCACCTGGCCTGTGCGCTCGGATCTGGCCCCCCCTCGCGCGCACCAGAGGTCGCTCCTGCGCACGGTGGCTCTGGCGTGCGGCCGCTCGGCGGGGCGGGAAAGCACGTGCGGGTGCGCGTGGGCACGGGCGTGCGACGTGGGCGGCGCTCGCAGGAGCGCAGCTCAGCCCCCCCCCCCCTGGCGTGAGGGGATCGCGGCGGGAGGCCTTTGGCACTGTGACTCACGTGTCTTGTGCCTGCCACTGCATGGCGGCACAATTCGCTCTAACGGCACCCCCGTTTGGGTCTTTCCGCTGGCGCAGACGTCCCCTGCCTCGCCGCCGACGCCCAAACTCGTGTTCCCGCCTGCGGGTGGTCCTTCTTCTGGGCCCCAGGGCCGTCCGAGGACAGCTCGAGGTAGGAAGCCGGACCCGGGCGAGGGGTCGAGGTCCCCCGGGGGCCCACGAGGCCAAAGACGTGCGTCACCAGAGAGGAAAGGCGCGGGGAGCACGAGGGTTTCAGGGCCCCCCCGGGAGCACAGGATGGGGCCGACACCGGCGCGCGCTCCCCCACCCCACTCCGACGCCACCCACCAGAGACAGCCGCGGGTCGGTTTTCTTCCGCGTGCTGCCCCCCAGAGGTCCCGACCCTGGGTGACTTTGGCATTGTCCCGGGGCGGAAATCGAGGAAGATCGTCGGGATTGGAAGTCAGATCGTCGGGATTCGAACTGCCCAGAGCCCAAACCGATCGCTGGGAATGGAGAAAAGCAACATCGTCGGATGTCTGCGACCGCGGCATCCCAAGTCGAGGCTGAATTGAGCCGACAGTCCCGCCAGCCCCCACACGCACGTCAATATCGGACGTCCTCGGGTGGTATCTCCGCCGGCTCCAGGCCCGCTCCCGTTGAGCAGCGCCTTCGACCCGCCCTCTGGCGCGTGAAGCGCACCCGCGGAGGCCGCAGTGCGATGGCGGTGTTTCTGCGATGCCTGGTGTGTATCTGCGGCGGCTGCGGCGCGTTTGCGCTTGACGGCTTCTCCGGCGGGACGGCCAATTCAATGAGTTTTGCGCCCGAATGCCCCGAGCTCAGCTCACCAGCAGAGCTCTTCGAGGCACTCTCCCCAGCTCAGCCTGCCACCAGAGCTTTACGATCGGACGTTGATAGACCTCCTACCCTGAACCCCTGAACGTCGATGAGCGAATTGGCCGTTTCAGGTTCGCGAGGGGGCGCCGCGGCCGTCATTTTTGCGGGTCCAGGTCCGTCGGTTTCGGCCCTAGGCCGTTTTCATTAAAGGGTGGTTCCCTACCTAGGCTCTGCCTAGAGGGTTCTTACTTTGTTTGCTTAAAGGGGCCGGGCTGTGTAAAACGCCCCGGGCGGTTCCCCCAGTCCCCGCCCCGCGGTTCCCCCAGTTGCGCCCCCTGGGTTCCCCTAGCTTAGCTTAGCTTAGTTTAACTTAGCTTAGCTTAGCTCAGCTAAGCTTAGCTTAGCTTAGCATAGCTGAGCGTAGCCTAGCCTATCTTAGCTTAACTTAGCTTATCACATCTTAGCTTAGCTTAGCTTAGCTGAGCTTAGCCCAGCTTAGCCCATATTGGTTTAGCTTAGCTTAACTTACCTCATCGTAGCTTAGCTTAGCTTAGCTTAGCTTAGCTTAGCTTAGCTTAGCTTAGCTTAGCTTAGCTCACCTTAGCTTAGCTTAGCCTAGCCTAACTTAGCTTAGCGTTGCTTAGCTTAGCTTAGCTTAGCGCAGCATAGCGCAGCGCTGCATTAGCACAGCATAACATAGCGCATAACATAGCACAGCGTAGCATAGCATAGCATAGCTGCAGGTGTAGATGTAAATGTAGCTGTCGGTGTAGATGTAGATGTTGTTTCCCTAAATGCTCCAACTCCTAGGTAGGGTCGCACTGGGATAATTTACTAAAGGGAGGTTTGTCTCAGGAGGGAAAAAACACACAGACACAATGAATCGTCGATTCTCCAGAAAATATGGGAAGCGGGGGGAAAGACAAAAACCCAGAAAGTATCGGAAAATATGGGGGATCCTTTTATTTGTGTGTACTTATTTGTGTGTCTTGGGGCCCCTCCATTGTCCACCGCCGACACGAGGCGCCTGCCCAGTCCGCCTGTGTAGTTCAGAGCCCCCGCAGCGAGCCTCGCGCGCTGGTGGACGGGTCGTGGGGAGGGCGTGCGGCGCACGGTGGGGACGCCGTCTGCGGCCGTGCAGCGGTTATGTATATGCGACTCGTCCGTCCTCCTGCCCAGGCGCGGCTCTCGCGGCTGCTGCGGAGAGGCCGATGGGGGCGCCGACAAGCAGGGGAGCGGGGAAGTATCCATCCTTGGTCTGCCAGTCATCGCCATTTGTGGTTCGGGTGCCCCTCCTCCCCTCCCTGCCCAGCACGCACGGCGTCGCCATGGGGGGCCTATATCGGCGATGTCCCGTCGCTCCCACGGAACACCAATAAAACACCAAGTACGGATGCTCAGGGGTCCGCGCAGATTTCTTGGGTCGTCCTTGGTCCTGGCGATGCCTCTAGCGCCGCCCCTGGCGTGCTCCGCCCGTCGGGGAGGGAGTGTGCGGAGGGGGTCCTCCGGCGCCGACCCGGGAAATCAGCGCGGACCGCCAAATCGCCGATCTATCGACGACGCATCGTCGACCCCAGCCGCGGGCTTCGCCGAATGTGCGCCCACACCGACCCTGGCAGGGCCGATGCAGGGCCCAGGCTCGTTGCGCACCCCCCCCAAAGCAGGCCAGGAGGAGGAGGAGGAGGAGGAGGAGGAGGAGGAGGAGGAGGAGCTCGAGGAGGAGGAGGAGGAGGAGGAGGAGGAGGAGGAGGAGGAGGACGCGCCGATCCTGGGCCCGGGGGCGGCTTGGCCGGGATCCCCGCCTGCGCCAGCCTCGGCCGCGCGCGGGAGTGAGCCCTCGCCGGAGGGGCCTTCGAGGGCGCGGCGTTCGGGGCCGCGCCGCCGGCTGGCTGCCGCACCGCGCCGCAGCGATCGGCAGGCCGCGCTCCAGTGGCCCCTCTCGCCCAGGGCCTCCTGCGGGCAGCCGACGGGCCCCTGAGCCGGGGCGCCCCCCCCCTTGTCGATGATCCTCGGGACGTGCGTTGGCCCAATGTGTGTGTGTGTGTTTACCCCCTCCAGCCCAAGCAGTGGATCAGGGCATCGCCGGCGTCGCGTCGGAGGGCCTCGATGGACAGACCCACACGTCGGGGCCAACACGCGTTCTGAGGATCCTCGGCCTTTGCTCAGAGGGGAGCGCAGGCGTGGGCCCAGGCGCGCGGAGCCGCGGCGGCTCCCGCTTCCAGGGCAGAGTCGGCGCGCTCCCGCCGCCGAGGCGGGCTGTGCCTCGGCCTCGCGCCTCGGGGGCGCCCTCCCCGATCCGTGGCTCCGGCGCCCACGCGCCGGAGCCACGGAGCCCTACGCACGGCAGGCACGTGCGGCGATGGCGCGCCAGCGACGCTGGCGAAAGCGCTCAAGGTCGAATGCCTGCGACGCGGAGGCACCGAGGGACACGGTCACGCCGCTGGGCCCGACGGCATTCCACCCTGAACGATGGGGGCCGCGATGGGTTCAAGGCGGAGCGATCGGCGCGGTGTCGACCACCTGTGCGCGCGCCGGCACGACACAGACCCGCCGTGCCAGCTTGCGCCCGCGTTCGGATCCCCCCAGGCCATGCCGCATGCCTGCAGGGCCGCAGCGTCGAGGAGCTCCGCGCCTGGGGCGAGGACGCGGCGGCGGAGCTCGCTTCGCTCGGCCTCTCGGAGCCCGACGGCTGTGGCCCGGTCGCCGAGGAGCAGCCGGCCGTGAGGCGCGAGGTGACCGCGGACCCGTCGGTGCTGGTCAGAGGCCCAACAAAGCCCAGCCAGGTCATGTGTCGCCGCGCCGTTTGTTCCGACGGGTGGCCTCGTCTTCGGGGATCCAGCGAAAACCGGCGGAAGGCCAGCGGAAAAGGCGGAAGGTGGCGGAAGGAAAAGATGCGCCCCAAAGAGATGATCACAGTTAGGGGTTTCCGGTTTCTGGAATCGGCCAGTTGGAAAGAACGCAGGATTGGTTGGAGGGGTAGGCCGATCGGGGTAAGCCGAGAGGGCTGCCCAGGCTAGACCTTCGGTGGGCACGTTTTTTCCGTAACGTATTTTTGCACATACAGCTCAAAGGTTTTCGGAGGTCCGCGCGGATTTCTTGGGACGCCGCTCTACTGCCTCCTCCTCCTCCTCCTCCTCCTCCTCCTCCTCCTCCTCCTTCTCCTCCCCCTCCCCCTCCCCCTCCTCCTCCTCCCTCTCCTCCTCCTCCTCCTCCTCCTCCTCCTCCCCTCCCCTCCTCCTCCTCCTCCTCCTCCTCCTCCTCCGCCTCCTCCTCCTCCTCCTCCTCCTCCTCTCCTCCCCTCCTCCTCCTCCTCCTCCTCCTCCTCCTCCTCCTCCTCCTCCTCCTCCTCCTCCTCCTCCTCCTCCTCCTCCTCCTCCTCCTCCTCCTCCTCCTCCTCCTCCTCCTCCCTCCTCCTCCTCCTCCTCCTCCTCCTCTCCTCCTCCTCTCATCCTCCTCCTCCTCCTCCTCCTCCTCCTCCTCCTCCTCCTCCTCCTCCTCCTCTCCTCCTCCTCCTCCCCCTCCTCCTCCTCCTCCCCCCTGCCACCCCTGGGCGGCGCCTCCGGCACCGCCCCCGGCCTGCCCCGCGCACGGGAGGGGGCGGCGGGCCGAGAGCGGGTGCCGGCGCCGGCCCCCAAGAGGTCCGCGCGGGCCTTCGGAGGCTACAGCTGCGGCTGAGGAGTGTCAAACGACGCGAAGATCGGGACAAAATCGGATCGGGATAACTCGATATCTCTGAGAATCGGCGGGTCTGGGGGATGTATTGGGCGCCGCGGCCGCTCCAGAGCGTTCCGGAACGCTCTGAGTGCGCTCCGGAACGCTCTGGAGCGATTTATCCCGATCCTAGCCCTGTTTTAGAGTGGGTTGGCCCGGCCAAGTCGAGGGTACCCCATGTGTCCTGTGTTTCTCGGGCCAGGCGAAAGGGGGGGATTGGGAAAGGGGGGGTTACGAAATTTGCTGCATGCAGCTGGTTTCGGCCTCACCGAGGGGCCCATTCCTCGATACATAGCCGCCTCCGGCGCCGGGAGGCGCCGGGAAAATCAGCTACGTGAGCTGATTCTCAAACCCCCCCTTTGCTATCCCCCCTTTTCGCCCGACCCGAGTTTCGCGACCCACGCCTTCTACATCCCTGTGGCAATGTGGCCCTCGGAAGTCCCGCGTGCCCTCTCCCAGCAGCCTCGACTGGCTGTATGCTTCCGCCGTCAGGGTCCATGTTTGATCCGGTCGATCCGATTCGAGGCCGATTCTGGCCCGCCCGATCCGACTCGATTCCGACATTCCGACGGTCAGATTCGCCCCAACACTTCCACGGCGTTGCTGTGAATCCTGGCGCAGCCAATCCGATGTGATACTGACTCCGTGCCGATGCGGGCCCAATCCGACGCACGTTTCGATTCGATCTGGTCTCCCGGCTCGGTGTTTACAGTCAACCCGCATAGTCAGGATGAGCGATGATCCAAGGTTGCCCTTGCATCTTTGCCCCCTCGCCTCGGCCCATCCTTGGCCGCTTTCGCTGACCGCGCCCCGCCTGCAAAGGAGTCGGCATGGCCCTCCGAGGCCTTGGCACCCTTATTACGCGCCCTTCTTATTAGGATTGAATTGATTTGAGAAGAAAAAACGCCATAAACATAAATGTGTACGGCGCTCCGCGCGGATTTCTTAGATCTGCGTTGAACCCCTTCACTGGCGCGCGGAGCGCGCCAGGGGCGGCGCCAGAGGCGCCGCAGGGGGGGTCCAGCGCGGATCCAAGAAATCCGCGCAGAGCGCCAGAAGTTCATGATTATGGCAATTATTTTTTATGCTATTATATATATAAAACTGTTATTCGTAGCATTCTAATTGTTATTAGTATTATTGGTGTTATTCCCCACATCCAAAGTGGGGTTCTTGTTTTCTCTGGGCACCCCGCGCAGGAAGTTTCACCCCTCACCACCCCCCTCCTCCTCATCACCCAGCACCTCCTCACTCACACTTTCACTCACTCATAATCACACTCATCATCATCAATACCATCATCAGAATAACCATCATTCATTCGCTCACTCAATCACTTACAAGACCAAACTTAAGGAAGTATCAGGCGAGAGCCTCGTCTGTGAGTGAATTGCGAGGAAGTCTCAGGCGGGAGCCCCTCCTTATGGGGTTCGCAGATCATGTTACTAATCCGAGCGGGCCTTCCAAATCCTGTAACTGTCGTCACTTGTGGGCTCCTGAGTCCTGAATCTGGGGGAAGTATCAGGCTGGAGCTTCGTCTGCGAGTGAATTGAGGAAGTCTCAAGCGGGAGCCCCCTCCCTATAGGGTTTGCAGATCATGTTATTTATCCGAGCGGGTCATACAGATCTTGTAATTGTCGTCACTCTTGGGCTCCTGAGGCCTGAATATATGTGAAGTATCAAGCGGGAGCCTCGTCTGTGAGTGAATTGCGAGGAAGTCTCAGGCGGGAGCCCCCTCCGTATGCGGCCAGCAGATCATGCTGTTAATCCGATCGGGTCATGCAGATCATGTAACTGTCTTCACTTTAGGGCTCCTGAAACTTGAGCATGGGGGAAGTATCAGGCGGGAGCCTCGTCTGTGAGTGAATTGCGAGGAAGTCTCAGGCGGGAGCCCCCTCCTTATGGGGCCCGCGAATTTCTTCTTGACCCGAGCGGGTCATCCAGACCTTGCACTTGTCGTCGCTTTTGGGCTCCTGAGGCTTGAGCGTGGGAGAAGTATCAGGCGGGAGCTTCGTCTGTGCGTGAACTGTGAGAAAGTCTCAGGCGGGAGCCCCCTCCTTATGGAGCCCGCATTTCACATTGGGAGTCCGAGCGGATCATCCTCGAACTTGTAACTGTCGTCACTTTTGGGCTCCTGAGGCTTGAATCTGGAGGAAGTATCAGGCGGGATTCTCGACTGTGAGTGAACTGTGAGTAAGTCTCAAGCGGGAGCCCCCTCCCTATGGGACCCGCATTTCACATTGGCAACCCGTACGGGTCATCCTCGAACTTGTAACTGTCGTCACTTGTGGGCTCCTGAGGCCTGAATATGGGGCAAGTATCAGGCGGGAGCCTCGACTGCGAGTGAACTGTGAGGAAGGCTCAGGCGGGAGCCCCCATCCCAATGGGGCCCGCACCTCTCGTGTTTCCTCCGGGTCGTCCTCCGGCGCGCGCTTCCTTTGGGTCGTCCTCTGGCGCGTATCCGCCGGGACGCACGTCGTGCGTTTCCACTGGTCGTGTTCCGCACGAGGAGGAAGAAGGAGGAGGAAGGAGGATGCAGGACGAGGAAGAGAAGCAGGAGGAGGAGGAGAAGGAGGAAGCACAGGGCGAGAAGGACGAGGAGGACATGGAAGAAGAGGAGTGCCCTAGGAGGCCCCAGGATGTCCCTGGAGGCCTAGAAGGCTCCAGGAGGCCCCAAGAGGCCCCAAGAGGCCCCAGGAGGAGGCAGGAAGCCTAAGGAACAGGCAGGAGGAGGGGGAGGCGGAGGAGGAGGAGGGGGGGGAAGATGGAGACGAAGAGGAGGAGGAGGCGGAGGAGGGAGAGGGAGAAGAGGAAGAGGAAGATGGAGAGAGGAGTCGGAGGAGGAGGAGGCGGAGGAGGAGGAGAAGGAGGAGGGGGAGGAGGAGGAGGGAAAAGGAAAGCAGCAGGAGGAGGAGGACGCAGGAGGCAGGAGGAACATGGGGAATGGGGGGAGGAGGCATAACGAGGAGGAGGAAAAGGAGGAGGAGGAGGAGGTGGTGGTGGTGGTGGTGGTGGTGGCAAGAGGAGGAGGCAGGGGTTGAGGCAGGAGGAGGAGGAGGCAGGAGGAAATGGAGGAGGCAAGAGTATGTGGGAGAAGCGAGGGGGCAAGAGGAGATCCCCAGGCAAGCTAAACATATTCTCGTGCGGGATCCTACCGTCGGAGTAATGTTCTCTGAAGCCCGCAGATCATCTTATTAATTTGAGCGGGTCGTCCAGATCCTGTAACTGTCGTCAATGTGGGGCTCGTGAGTCCTGACTATGGGGGAAGTCTTAGGTGGGAGCCTCGTCTGTGAGTGAATTGCGAGGACGCTTCATCCAGGAGCCCCTCCCTGTGGGGTTTGCAGATTTTCTTATTAATTTGAGCGGGTCAACCAGATCCTGTATATGTCGTCACTCTTGTGCTCCTGAGTCCTGAATATGGAGGAAGTATAAGGTGGGAGCTTCGTCTCTGAGTGAATTGCAAGGAAGTCTCAGGCGGGAGCCCCCTCCCTATTGGGCCCGCAGATCACGTTATTAATCCCAGCGGGTCATCCACATCCTGTAACTGTCGCCACTTTTGAGCTCCGGAGTCCTGAATATAGGAAAAGTATCAGGCGGGGGCCTCGTCTGTGAGCGAATTGCAAGGAAGTCTCAGGCGGGAGCCCCTTCCGTATGGGGCCCGCAGATCATGTTATTAACCCGATCGGGACACCCAGGTTGTGTAGTTGCCGTCACTTTGGGGCTCCTGAGGCTTGAATATGGGGAAGGTATCAGGCGGGAGCTTCGTCTGTGAGGGAATTGCGAGGAAGTCTCAGGCGGGAGCCCCCTCCAAATGAGGCCCGCAGACCATCTTGTTAATTTCAGCGGGTCGTCCAGAGCTTGTAATTGTCGTCATGTTTGGGCTCCTGAGTTCTGAGTATGGGGGAAGAATCAGGCGGGAGCCTCGTCTGTGAGCGAATTGCAAGGAAGTCTCAGGCGGGAGCCCCCTCCTTATGGAGCCCGCAGATTTTGTTATTAATCCAAGCGGGTCATCCACATCCTGTAACTGTCGTCATGTTTGGGCCCCTGAAGCCTGAATAGGGGGGACGTATCAGGCGGGAGCTTCGTCTGTGAGTGAGTTTTGAGGAAGTCTCAGACGGGGGCCCCCTCCATATGGGGCCCACTTTTCACGTTGATAATCCGAGCGGGTCATCCTCGAACCTGTAACTGTCGTCATTGAGGCGTGAATATGGGGGACGTCTCAGGCGGGATTCTTCACTGTGAGTGAGCCCTGAGGAAGTCTCAGGCGGGAGCCCCCTCCATAGGGAGTCCACATTTTACATTAATAGTCCGAGCGGGTCATTCTCGACCTTATAACTGTCGTCACCGATGGGCTCCTGAAGCTTGAATATGGGGGAAATATCAGGCAGGAGCTTCGATTGTGAGTGAATTGTGAGGAAGTCTCAGGCGGGAACCCCCTCCCTATGGGGCCCGCATTTCATTTTGGAATTCCGAGCGGGTCATCCTCCAACTTATACCTATCGTCATGTCTGTGCTCCTGAACCTTAAATATGAGGGAAGTATCAGGCGGGAGCGTCGATTCTGAGTGAACTGTGAGGAAGTCTCAGGCGGGAGCCCGCTCCTTATGGGGCCCGCATTTCACGTTGGTAATCCAAACGAGTCGTCCTTGCACCTGTAACTGTCGTCATTTTTGGGCCCCTGAAGCCTGAATATGGGCGACGTATCAGGCGGGAGCTTCGTCTGTGAGTGAATTGTAAGGAAGTCTCAGGCGGGAGCCCCCTCCATATGGGGCCCACACTTCACGTTGATAATTCGAGCGGGTCGTTCTCGAACTTGTCATTGGCGTCATTGAAGCGTGAATATAGGGGACGTATCAGGCGGGATTCTTCACTGTGAGTGAACTGTTAGGAAGTCTCAGGCGGGAGCCCCCTCCCTATGGAGCCCGCATTTTACATTGGTAGTCCGAGCGGGTCATTCTCGAACCTATAACTGTCGTCACCGATGGGCTCCTGAGGCTTGAATCTGGAGGAAGTATCAGGCGGGACTATCGACTGTGAGTGAACTGTGAGGAAGTCTCAGGCGGGAGCCCCCTCCTTATGGGGCCCGCATTTCACGTTGGTAACCAGAGCGGGTCATCTTCGAACCTATACCTATCGTCATTTTTGGGCTCCTGAGGCTTGAAAATGGGGCAAGTATCAGGCGGGAGCCTCGACTGCGAGTGAACTGTGAGGAAGGCTCAGGCGGGAGCCCCCGTCCCAATGGGGCCTGCACCTCTTGTGTTTCCTCCGGGTCGTCCTCCGGCGCGCGCTTCCTTTGGGTCGTCCTCTGGCGCGTATCCGCCAGGACGCACGTCGTGCGTTTCCTTTGGGTCGTGTGTCCGCACGAGGAGGAAGAAGAAGGAGGAAGGAGGATGCAGGACGAGGAAGAGAAGCAGGAGGAGGAGGAGGAGGAGAAGGAGGAAGCAGAGGGCGAGAAGGACGAGGAGCTCCAAGAGTCCCCAGGAGGAGGCAGGGAAACCTAAGGAGGAGGCAGGAGGAGGGGGAGGCGCAGGAGGAGGGGGGGGAAGATGGAAACGAGGAGGAGGAGGAGGCGGAGGAGGGAGAGGGAGAAGAGGAAGAGGAAGATGGAGAGAGGAGGCGGAGGAGGAGGAGAAGGAGGAGGAGGAGAAGGAGGAGGAGGAGGAGGAGGAGGGAAAAGGAAAGCAGCAGGAGGAGGAGGACGCAGGAGGCAGGAGGAGCATGGGGAATGGGGGGAAGAGGCATAACGAGGAGGAGGAAAAGGAGGAGGAGGAGGAGGAGGAGGTGGTGGAGGAGGCAAGAGGAGGAGGCAGGGGTTGAGGCAGGAGGAGGAGGAGGCAGGAGGAAAAGGAGGAGGCAAGAGTATGTGGGAGAAGCGAGGGGGCAAGTTGAGATCCCCAGGCAAGCTAAACAGATTCTCATGCGGGGTCCTACCGTCGGAGTAATTTTTATGAACCGCATTATTAGTGTTATCATTATTATTTAATCGCTTCGCTCATTCCTCCGGCCCTCGAGCGCTCTATGGGGCCTCTTTAAAGCCTCTTGGGGGCCTCTTTGGGGCCTCCTAGGGGCCTCTTGAGGGCCTCTTGGGGGTCTCTTGGGGCTCCTTGGCGGCGTCTTGGGGGGCTCTTGGGGCGGGGGAGTCGAGTGCACCCCCCTCGGAGGCCACGATCCTCGTGAGGGGTGTCGAAAAAAGGCCCTCAAAACCATCTCTGAGTAGACCTGCTCGGGCTGCGGTCGGGATACTTTTCGCCAGGGGACCCCCAGGGGCCGCCCCGCGCGCGCGAACTAGAAATACCGTTGACCAGTTTCCGGAGATCTTAGCACGCCTCTGGCCCGTTGGGCCAGCGATTTATTCTTCTTCACTCACTCACTCACTCACTCACTCACTCACTCACTCACTCACTCACTCACTCACTCACTCACTCACTCACTCACTCACTCACTCACTCACTCATCATCATCATCATCATCATCATCATCATCATCATCATCATCATCATCATCATCATCATGAGCATGAGCATCAGCATCAGCATCAGCATCAGCATCAGCATCAGCATCAGCATCAGCATCAGCATTATCATCATCATCAGCAGCATCATCCTCATCATCATTCACCGTCGGAGTAACTATTATGAATCGATCATTGCTATCCTCATAATTCTTCTTCCACTGATCCTGCGCCCCTTTGCTGCTCTCCGAGGTGGGCGCCCTGGAGACGGTCCCCCTCCAGCCGCCCGCCGACGGCGCGGCCACCCCCTCCCGCGCGGGCCCGGCGGGCGGAGCGGAGCGCGCGCCCTCCGAGAAGCGCGGCTCGGGCGAGGCCGTGGTGCCCGGGGAGGCGTGGCCGCCGGCCGAGGACTGGGGCGGCCCCGTCGCCGGAGGGGCTTCGCCACGCGCCGAGGGGGGTAGGGGGAGGGCCCAGACCCCCTCGAGTAATGAAAAAATCATGACGGGAGGTTTTTCCTACTGTTCGGCCTCTGGGGGCCCTCACCGGGCCTCGGGAGCATCAAAAAACGACTCAGGATGCAAAGCCGGTCATGGGGAAAGGGTCGGGACCTCTGGGGGTCGACGTAATGAAAAAAACATTACGTCGGGGGTCTGGGGGGGGAGGGCTTCTTAGAAGGACCCCTGCTTCTTAGAAGGCGCGGGCCTGATCTATAGATGTAAGGCCGGCGCCTTCTGAGGCCGGCGCCTTCCAAGAAGCCCTCCCCCCTCCCTCCGCCCCCTTGTGCGCGCCGCCAAGGGGTCTGGGCCCCCGATGCGGCGAGGACTATCAAGTCAGGGCCGAGTGCCTCCTCGCTCCTCGCTCCTGGCGGCGGGCTGGCCGGCGGAGGCGCGGCGGGCTGGCCTCGAGGGGGCTGTCGAGCCCTGTCGCGGGCCCAGGCTCCTCGAGGAGGTCGAGGGTCGAGGACTTTGGTGCCCTGACTTCACAGTCCTCGCCGCATCGGGGGGTGCGGTCACGACTCCTACCGGGAAGGTTGGCATGGGGTGCATTCTGATCGGCACACCTCGCGGACTTGAGTTCCGCGAGCAAGGGAAGGCTTGTGAGGGGTGTCTGGCCTCCCTGGCAGTGCTCCCGAGTACTGCCACGCACAAAATCGCCCTGCGGCGGATGGCCAAGCCAACCGCCAGGAGTGGTCATTTTGACCTTTGCAGCTCTTGTTCCGTGTGTTGCTCGAAGTACCCTTGGCCCAAGGTACCCCCAGGATTCTCGGGGTGGCCCAGACGGCCTCCAGGGCACCCCTCACGAGGCCCAGAGGACCCCAGGGGCTCCAAAATGGAGCGAGAAGCTGGGGGCACCTTGGGCCAGGGGCACTTCTAGCAACACCCGTGGTGCGGGGGCACAGGCACTAAGTCGGGCCTGTCCCTCTACAGGAGGACTATTTACAAGTAGTCAAACAATAGTCCGGGGACGATGTTTGGAGCATTGTCTGGCTCTTTGGAAGCATTTCTAGGGTATGTTTTTATTTTTCGTCCAAGGTTCTCCTGTAGGGGGACATGCCCGACCAAACACAGGCACAGAGAATCGCCGATTTCCAAGAGCACGTGGGAAAAAAACAGGGGCAGCGAAAGGGAAGACGAAGACCCCGCCCGAGAAAGAGCATGGAAATATAGGGAATCCTGGGGCTCGCTCCTGTGCATCTGTGTGTCTTTGGGCCTCAGCTATGCGTACGAGTGACCTTTCGCCGAAGTGGCCTTTGGTGCGGGCCCCAAGGGGCGCCTCGATCGCTGAGCGCGATGCGATAGCAGCGGCTTGCCCGCCTGGTGATGTCCCCAAAAGGCCCCCCCTTCGGCCTCGCACCAAAGATCACTCTTGCCTAGGGTCACTCTTGCGTGTAGCCGACTTTGCCACAGGGGATTATGTTCGGCACCGCCTTTGCGGGGTGTCCGCGTTAAACCGAGGGTTTTTGCGGCGGCAACCGTGTTGCCAGAGTGTCCCGCTGCAGGGGTCGTTCGGCCGTTCGCGCCAGGGGGCCCAGCTCCACAAATGAACACGCTTCGGCGCGCAAGCACCGATAGTTTTTGTCGTCCCCCTGAGCATTGGCGTGCCAGCTCGGATCCAGCCTCCCCGCGGCCTCTTCGGGCCGCGCACCAGAGGTCCCTCCAGCCTGCGGTCGCTCCCACGCGCGGCCGCGAGAAAGGTGGCGGCGCGGGGGGGGCGGCCCACGAAGAGGGCGGGGGGGGCGGAGAGGGGCTCCGAGAGGGCAGACTTCAGAGGAGGACAAGAATCCCCATGCAGCTACCTCCTCCTCCTCCTCCTCCTCCTCCTCCTCCTCCTCCTCCTCCTCCTCCTCCTCATCCGTCTCCTCCTCCTCCGTCTCCTCCTCCTCCGTTTCCATCTCCTCCTCCGTCTCCGTCTCCTCCTCCTCCTCCGTCTCCGTCTCTTCCTCCTCCTCCGTCTCCTCCTCCTCCTCCTCCTCCTCCTCCTCCTCCTCCTCCGTCTCCGTCTCCGTCTCAGTCTCCGTCTCCTCCTCCTCCTCTTCCTCCTCCTCCGTCTTTTCCTCCTCTCTTCATCTTCCTCCTCCTCCTTCTCTCCTCCTCCTCCGTCTCCGTCTCCTCATCTTCCTCCCCTCCTCCTCCTCCTCCCTCCTCCTCCTCCGCGTCTCCTCCTCCTCCTCCTCCTCCTCCTCCTCCTCCTCCTCCTCTCCCATTCCTGCTCATCATAGATAGCTTCTCCCTGTCGCACACCGAGGCCTGTTGGTAGGGCGGGCCGTGCGTTTCGATTGAGATTCCCTCGCCATTTATGACTCTGAACTTTGGAGTGGCAACAGCTTCACAGATGGAAGGCTGGTGGTTTTCAACATGGGGCTCTCGCCTTAGCGCCGCGCACCTTCGTTTTAAACATTACTAACAGCTTCACAGATAAAAAGCGGCTGGTTTTCAAAATGTGGTTCTCGCCTTAGAGCCGCGCACATTCGCTTTAAAATTGTGTAAGAACTTCACGGATTGAGGGCGGCCCCTTTTCAGAATGTGGTTCTCGCCTTCGCGCCGCGCACATTCGTTTTTTAATGGTAACAGCTTCACAGATGGAGGGCGGGTGGTTTTCAAAATGTGGCTCTCGCCTCAGCGCCGCGCACATGTTGTTTGAATTTGCAGCAGCGTCACAGATGGAGGGCGAGTGGTTTCCAAAACGTGGCTCTCGTGTTAGAGCCGCGCACATTCGTTTTAAACATTTTGAAGAGTGTCACGGATTGAGGGCGGCTGGTTTTCACAATGTGGTTCTCGCCTTTGCGCCGCGCACATTCGTGTTAACAAATTGCAAGAGTGCCACGGGTTACCATGATCAACGTACCAGAAATGGTGTTTGGAAGGATTCAGGATTCTGCGGGTGCAACCGTTATGTTGATTCGCGGTGTTGCAGTCCCACAACTGACGCTCTGGCACGATTCCGGATCGTCAAGACCCTCCAGTCAGGTTGATACGTGGCGTCGAAATCCTCCCGAGAACAATGTGTTGGCATGCTTCAGGATCTTCAAACAGTTGTCTTCCCACGAGGCAGTTCCCTCAGTGGAAATGAACCGTTGTATGGGGTCTATGAAGAGGGAGCTTGGAGGGAGGGTTCATGTCAACATCGTTGATGATTCTTGGGTTTACACTGGTCCTCCTCCTCCTCCTCCGTCTCCTCCTCCTCAGCCTCCTCCTCCTCTTCCTCCTCCCTCTCCGTCTCCTCCTCCTCCTCCTCCTGCTCCTCGTCCTCCTCCTCCTCCTCCAACTCCGAAGCCTTTCCAGGGAAGCCCTCCTCCTCCTCCTCCTCCTCCTCCTCCTCCTCCTCCTCCTCCTCCTTTCCCCTCCCCCTCCTCCTCCCTCCTCCTCCTCCCTCCTCCTCTCCTCCTCCTCCTCCTCCTCCTCCTCCTCCTCCTCCTCCTCCTCCTCATCCTCCTGCTCCTCCTTCCTCCCTCCTCTCCTCCTCCTCCTCCTCCTCCTCCTCCTCCTCCTCCTCCTCCTCCTCCTCCTCCTCCTCCTCCTCCTCCTCCTCCTCCTCCTCCGTGCCAATGACCCCCCAGGCTTCTTGGTTCTCGATGTGGTCGGGGACGCACGGGGCAGCCTTTAAGGATCCCTGCTGGGGTCCGACGAGCACCCCGACCACGAGGGCCAGGGAGTGGGGGTCGGGGCGACAAAGGCTTAATTCGGCCAGCTCGTGCATGATTGGAGCCTGCCATGGCTCGAGGCTGAGCGTCAGTAAGCATACAGTGGTTGACTGGGGCCCGGGGACCCAAACCCATATTCCGATGCTCGGGATAGGAGTTTGGGGTACGGAGGCAAAGAGCTACGGACTCACGGAGTTCGCATGCAGCACTCAGCCGGTCGTTTCGACAGGAGCGACCAGGGCCCAAGTAGTAGTTGAACATCTCACTGCCGTAACCACCACGCGGGTGGCCTGTATGTGCATCATGCGTACTGCTTACCGCCGCTTCGCCTTAAGGGTCGGGGACTACGGACCACTGCACAGCAAGTTCGCGGTAGCCCCTGGCCCGCTGATTCGACCGGATCAGCTTGCCATTCAATATGCTGCCCCCCCACGCCCATTGCCCAAAGGGTCGGGGACTAAGGACCACTGCATAGCAAGTTCACAGTAGCCCCCGACCCGCTGATTCGACTGGATCAGCCTACCAGCCGCCGCGCGCGCAGCCATCGTCAAGCACATCGCTTTAGCCGCCTGCCGCTGCTGCAGCTCTTGGGTCAGTGATGTGCGTGTCTGCTCGGGTGTGCGGCCGGCCGAGGGGGGGCGATTCGTTATTTATCCTCCCCGCTCGGGGCGAGATAACTGCGCTTCCTCGTCGCCGTCTCTGTCGTGGTCTCTCTGTCTCTGTCTCTTAACCCTTGCGCGTTGTACTATATAGCTTGCACCGCCTTCCGTTACATACTCATATACACGCCCCCCCACCCGTCCTCATCGGTTGGGTACTTCCTAATCCGTTCACAAGAGGGCCCCGAGTGAAGGGCAAGCTGGCGCGGGAGGTATGCCCGTGCGAACGGTTCACGTGCTGGCCAAAGCATGCAAGACTGAGGTCTGTTCGCTGCCCCTGTTAAGTAGCTGTGAGTTCTCTATTGCAAGCTATGGGGGGAAGCTCACACGTCGCCCGCTTCCGTTCACAAGAGGGGCCAGAGTGAAGGGACATTCTGTTCGCTGCCCCCAGATACAAGCTTGCTTGCAAGTAGGGCGGGTCTGCACAACCCACGTGCGTTCCGAGCTCTGGACCCGCTGGCACTCAGAATCCGAGGGGGGCAAAACTACTCCCGCCCGATGGCGATCGGTTCTAGTACGGTGGCTGCTTCGGCCGGTCAGGTGGGGTTCATTGGCCACGCCTGGAAAAGCCACCGGTGCGCTAGGCAGCCCACCAGTGTAGTGCGGCTGTTGCCGCCGTGCCTGGTGGGAACACCGGTGAGCTGGGCAGCTCACCGGTGCGAAGCGGCTGCTCTGGGCCGGGCCTGGTGAAACACCGGGCGTGAGATAAGTCCCAATGAGTCCCCCAAAGGGGACCCAAGTAACCTTCATGAGGGAATCAAGGAGCCCCCGCGAGGGGCTCAAGAGGACCCTACAAGGTGGTCCAATACCCCTTTTGAAAAACCTGCATTATATTGCCCCGGACCTTACAGGGGCAGTGGAAAAGTGTGTTTTAAAAACGCGTAATGCTCGCCGATCTGCCAGAGAGCCTGAAAAGCCCAGTGTTTATGAGGACCCCCTGTCGGTTCCCCCATTGTCCGTTTCAGCTTTGCGCCACCCACAATCCCACTTAGTGGGATAGCGTCGTTGGCCATCATAAGCCCTCATGCGTTGCCTGTTGCCTAATGCATGCTGGGACCTTGTCCCCTCGCGCGTTGCATGCTGATGCCGGGGCGTTCGCCCCTCAAGAGCACCCAATTCAGTGGTGGTGGCATCCAGGCCCCCCGCCCTAATCGAGGGGGCCCTGGCTGTCATTCAGGGGCGCCACTGGGCCATGCACACCCCGACCCCCCCGCTGACAATCGGGAGTCCGAAGCACTTCTTGAGCTGCGCGACCGCATCCCTGTCTATTCGTGCCTGGCCCCCGTGTCTTAGTGGACCTCTGCCCCCGCAAGTTCACTTCCCTTCGGGATGCCACCCCCTAGGAGCCCAGATCCGGGGATCGCTAAGAAGGGCTGCGGGGTGAGGAGGGAGGGTAAGGAGGACCACCAGTCGGACCAGTAGGATTTCTGCCTGCAGGAGATTGTGTGTTCGGCCCCTGCGCCTTTGCTGGCTTTGTCAGGTCCGTGGATCCGTACCCTCCCCAGTTTTGGGTCTTGATTTGGGCCCCCCCTGTTCGCTCAGCCCTACCCCGAGGGTCCGGCGAATGGGGAACCCATTCTTGCACCCAATTGTCAGTCCGTGCTAATCCTCCTCCTCCTCCTCCTCCTCCTCCTCCTCCTCCTCCTCCTCCTCCGCCTCCTCCTGCTCATCGTCCCCCTCCTCCTCCTCCTCCTCCTCTCCTCCTCCTCCTCCTCCTCCTCCTCCTCCTCTCCTCCTCCTCCTCCTCCTCATCCTCCTCCTCCTCCTCTCCTCCTCTCCTGCTCCTCGTCCTCCTCCTCCTCTTCCTCCTCCTCCTTCTCCTCCTCCTCCCTCCTCCTCCTCCTCCTCCGTCTCCGCCTCCTCTTCCTCATCCTCCTCCTCCTCCTCCTCCCCCTCCTCCTCCTCCTCCTCCTCCTCCTCCTCCTCCTCCGTCTCCGTCTCCGTCTCCGTCTCCTCCTCATCCTCCTCCTCCTCTGTCTCCTCCTCCTCATCATCCGCCTCCCCCGCGTCGCAGGCGTTGGCCAGTGGTGCGGCTTGTGCCACGCGGCTGCGCCTGGTGGCGAGACTACCCTTCTCTCGTTTCCCCCTTTTTGAGCCTCCCGGGAGGCCCTCGATGCCACCGCTGGATTCGCCTCGAAGTCCTGGTCAGAAGGCACCCCGGGAGAGTTCCGGGGAGGGTCGATATCGGTACCTCTCGGTTTCTTTAGGAGCGGCTTCCTAGAGGCCTTCCTCGAGATACGGCGCAAGTTTGTATCCAACTCCCTCGCCCCCAATGTCGATGCTGATCGACGCGCTCAGCGAGGCCCCCGGGGTCCGAAACTGCAGAAAAGCGCAGCCGCCAGTTTCGGCGAGAGCATTGAAATTGGGGGTCCTGGGGCGCCGCCACGTCGCGGGAAGCAAGCTGGCGTTTGACTTCGAGGAGGGACGTCGAGGCCCTCCCCGCTGCGGAGGAGCCCTCTCGGAGCCCCCTGGGGGCACCTTCGGAGAGCCCCCGCTTGCCTCCTCCGGAGCCCCCCGCCTTCCAAGAAGCCCGCCCCTCTCGCACCACCACCACGCGGGAGCCGCCAGGAGGACTCCGTCGTCGACGTGGCAGGCTCCGTCTGGCAGTGGGAGCACCGCACGGGCTTCCGTAGCTACGCGGCGGCCGAGAGCGAGCGCATCGAGGAGGCCTGGCAGAGCGGGGAGTCGAAGGTGCGGCTGAAGGCGGGGAAGACCGGGAAGATTCCCATGGAGATCTTCTTCGCCGACATGGTCCAGTTGGATCCCACCTCAGGCAGTCAGCGGAACGTGAGGCGCGTGGGCCACGACAGTCGTTTTTCGCGGCTGGAGCGGAATCTCCGCCAGGTTTGGAAAGCCATCCACACTGGCCAGTTGCGTTGGGAAAGTTCCAAGCAATACAGGAAGAGGCAAGCGACTCAGCGAAACCAGGAAAAACTATCCGTCATAGACGCGTCGTCCATGATAGTCAACAAGTCTCAGATGTTCAGCAGGTCGCACATCGATACTGGTCCTGCCACCAAGCGGGCGCACATTGGGGTCTGGTGTGGGAAACTGGTGCAGGCCCTCTGGTGGAACATCCTGACATGGCTCGTGACCGCCCTGAATGTATTTTGGATCTACTGGATGGCCGAGCACCACGAATGGACGCTCGTGTTCTGGCGCCCCGCGGAGGTCATATTTATCGACTTCTGTTTCCTGCTCTTCTTCGCGACAGAGCTGGTCATCCGCGTCTTGTCCTATAGGTTGGCGGCCCGCACACGGGGGTGGCACGAGGGGGGAAGGGGCGGCCTTCTCGGCGGGCGGGGGGGCTTCTTGGAAGGCAGGAGGTTTCTCAGGAGGGCCCACGTCCAAGAGGGCTCCTGGCAGCTCGGAGGACTTCTCAGACGTTCCACTGCCCTCTTAGAGGCCCCCCTTCTTGGAAGGCCAGCCCACTCGCGCCACCCCCTTTGCGCGCGCCACCACGCAGGGACGCGACCACCGCCCTCCAGTCCCACTTCTTCCTGCGCGACGCCCTGGTCGTGGCCCTGACCCTCGTGGAGGTCGTGTTCTTCCCCATGGTCTCCTTCGCATCCGACGCCCACGAGCTGGACCCAGGCTCCGCGTGGTTCACGTTCGCCCTGCTCGTGCGCTTGTCCAGGCTCGTGCGGGTGGAGCGCCTCTTCCGGATCTTCCCGCAGGCCGCCACGATCAGCCGGGCCATCGCGTCGGGGTTGGAGTCCGCCGCGATCATCCTCCTGATGATGATCGGCTTTCTCTTCGGCTTCGCGGTGATGCTGAAGACGGGCGTGGCAGATCGAGTTGTCAAGGAGAAGTATTTCAGCACGATGTCTCGCACGCTGGAGACGCTGATCGTGCAGGGTCTCTTCTTCGATGGTATCCTCGATTACTTGCAGGATTGCCGCGATGAGTTTGTCGGCTACTTCGGCATGCTCTTTTTCGTCTGCGTGGGCCAGTACATTTTCTTGAACATGCTCATTCTAGAGGAGAAACAGGGATCACCGCCATCGATCAGAAGGGAAAAAAAAACACAGACACAATTAATCGTCGATTCCCAGGAAATATGGGAAAATATGGGAAGTGGGGGGGAAGACAAAAAGCAAGAAAATATGGGAAAATATAGGGAAGATTTCCCTACCTAGGCTCTGCCTACAAGGGTTCTTACTATTAGGCTTGAAGGGCCGGGCAGTGGAACCCGCCCCAGGCGGTTCCCCCGGCATCCGCCCCGCGGTTCCCCCAGTGACGTTCCCTTAGCTTAGCGTTGTTTGTCTCACCTTAGCTTAGCGTATGTCATCTTAGCTTAGTTTAGTTTCATCTTAGCTCAGGTTTAATTTAGCTTAGCTTACCTTCATCTTAGCTTCGCTGAGCTTTAGCATAGCAGAGCACAGCAAAGCATAGCATAGCGTAGCATAGCATAGCGCAGCACATCATATCATAGCATAGCCCAGCATAGCATAGCATAGTGCAGCATAGCATAGCATAGCATAGCATAGCATAGCAACGCGCAGCACAGCACAGCACAGCATAGCACCGCGCAGCACAGCATAGCAGAGCAGAAAATAGCCAAGCACAGTATTGCACAGCATAGCATAGCGCAGCATAGCGCAGCATAGCATAGCACAGCATAGCATAGCATAGCATAGCGCAGCTTAACATAGCATAGCATAGCCTAGCTTAGCATAGCACAGCGCAGCATGACATCGCATAGTTTAGCATAGCATTGCATAGCATAGCATAGCGCAGCATAGCATGGCATAGCATAGCATAGCGCAGCATAGCATGGCGTAGCATAGCATAGCATAGCAACTAATGCTGCTTTCCTAGGGGCTCCAACTTCTAGGTAGGGTCGCACTGGGGTAACTTTATTTGTATGTATTTATCTGTGTGTCCCAGGGCCCCTTCAACCGAGAACCCATCGCAGGAGCGGACCCCTGAGCGTCGTCCTGCACCGGGTGACGCTCGGGCGTGCCAACGCCCCGGGGGTCGCCCCCCGCTCCCGATGGCTTCTCGTTGGCGGTGGCCCCTGTTCCTCCTCTGTCTATCGGCGTGTTCTCCAGCGTGGCGGCGGGCGCCACGAGCGAACAGGCAAGGCGCATTTCGATCCCAGCGATCCGATTCGACATCGGTGCTGGTTCGCTCGATGCGATCCGATTCCGACGCGTTGACGATCCGATGCGGGCCGAAGCTCACACGGCGTTTGTTTGCATTCTGGCACTGCCCATCCAGATCGGCGTCAATTCCGTACTGATGCGGCCCGATCCGACGCACATTCCGAGTCGATCCGATTTCCCGCTCCGATGTTGGTTGCTGCTGATAGGTCGACAGGCGGGCCATTGCGTACCTCGAGAATAACCTGGCCTCTATCCTGGAGTGCTACCTCGAGGACGTGCCCTTCACCGCGTCCGGCAACATGCAGGTGGACCGCGCGCAATTGGGCAGAAACGCTTTCAACCTGATTCTGCAGAACCTCGACGTGCTCGACGTACTCGAGGCCTGCGGCACCGACATCGATGGGCTGCAGGGCATGAAAGACGTCCTGTTCCCACAGGTGTCTAGGGACAAGAAGTGCGGGGGGCAAGGAGTCTGCTGGCAACTTGTGACGGCACCGCCGAATCCTGGAGGCTCTCCTGCACCGGGACATGTGTTCTGCGCCTCGCCGCGTGAACCTCCGGAGTTGCCCCCTATCGTCCCGCACGGCCGCTAGAGACCCGAGCTATGCCCGAACACACGGGGATTCGGAGGTCCGCGCGGATTTCTCCAGTCGGCGTTGAACCCCCGTCCCCTCACCCTCGGCGCGCTCCGCGCGCCGGGGAAGAGGTGCGGGGCGTGCGAGAGAGTGGCCCTCAAGGGACCCCAGACGGCCCCCGAAGCGGAACCGCGGGCCCAGAAGGCGCTGGCAGGGCGCACGGTTCGTTCACCCATTGTATTTCTCTCCTGCCCCGTGGACGACCGCCCGGCTGGCACTGCTCTTCGCAGGAGACGAGCGAGATCAGCTTCAAGGAGATGTACGAGGTCCTCCTCCGCCTCCGCAGGCAAGGGGCAACGACAGGGAGGGATAGGCAGGGGGGGGATGCGTCGACCCCCAATCGCCCACTGATCGCGGATAGAGGCCCGTCGTCGTCGTCCTCCTCGTCGTCGTAGTCCTCATCGTCGTCATCATCGTCCTCCTTCTCCTCGTAGTCGTCGTCCTCCTCCTCTTCCTCGTCGTCGGACGCTTGACTTCTCACTCTCGGGATCTGGTGCCATGTGGCACTATTCGGGATGTTTTCGTTAGGCTTCTCGACCCTAACGGTTTCTATGGTGTTCCCTGATTAGAAATCTAGTCGTGACGGGAGTGCCGACTTTCAAGTTTCGCGAGGAGAGGGGGACCTGCCCTCTTGATGCGCACAGCGGTCACTTGTAATCAGATCATCACTGCAGACTCGACCAGATGCTGAGTACCACCACCACCTCGTCGTCGTCCTCCTCCTCCTCGTCCTCTTCCGCGTCGTCGTCGCCGACAGCCCCACCCCGCCCAGGAACGTGCGGATTCGCCATCGGGGGCCTATCGCCGATTTATCGCCGATTCCAGGTCGATGCTTCCCCCCCCCCCTGGTGCCAGTCCCCCCTACCGTTGCCCCTCCGCAGGGGCAAGCCCGCCAGCGTCCTGGACGTCGTCGAGCTGCGGGAGCTCACCCGGCGGCGGACGGAGGAGCTCCGGGAGCTCCTTCTGCAGCCCGCGGCAGCGGCCTGCGGGGGAGAGCGGGGCTCCGCCGCGTCCAGGGCCGTGCGGTCTCGGTCCTGACGCTCCGCTGGCACGCAGCTCGGAACGATCGAATTTGGGTTCGGAAAGAATGGGTGCGATGCCCAGCAGCAGTTCCTGTGCGTTTTGAACAGAATTCGTTGTCGGCGTCGCCGCGGACGTTGCCCATTTGAGACAGGAGGCCGCCTGCCCAACAGCGGCCGCTATCGGTTTTGGACAGCATGTGTTGTTGGGCATGTTACCCATTTTTTCGCAGTCATGCCAGGAGACCACATCCGCTGGCACGCAGCCATGGGCGCGGCAGCCGCGGGGAGATGTAATTTTAAACCAGGAGAATCTAGGCCTCCCAGTTGGGGTCCCAGTAGATGCGGTCAAAAGATCGCTCCGCATCGACGATGTCTCGACGATCTGGCTCGACGATGCAGCCAGAGCTTCTCCACGCGGAAGGCGCCGACGCAGCGCCGACGCCGCCGATGCATCGCCGATGCACTGGCGATGCGGCGCGACCCTCCGACCCCGTCTGCCCAGACCCCATCGGGGAGGCCTCCGAAGAAGGACACACGCCAGGAGCCTCCGTCTTCGGAGGTCCGCGCGGAGCTCTCGGCGCGACGCTGGGGGGTGCCGCCTCGGAGGGCGTCCGGCGCCGATCCAGGACGACCCAGCGGACCTCCGATGGTTCCCTAGACAGCGAGTGACGCAAGGGGTCCGGACAGGCCTCGGAACAAATTAGCGAACAGTCATCCCACATTCATGTGTCAACGGCTCCCCGTCCCCCCAATGTTCAAAGTTGGCGGTGGGTCTGATGAGATGCACTTCGACCGCAGTCTCCCCCGCGCGTGCCAACAGTGAGGTTGGGGGGAGGGGGAGTGTTCAGTAATTGTTTCCTTCTACCGGGTGGCATGAAGAAGGTGATTTCGTGTTGCAGATTCTAGACGGCTCGCGTGACCCAGCCGAGCCCATCCAGAAATCGTGTCATGCGGAGGCGCATGCAGTTGAATACTGGGAAGGCAAGCTGTCCTACCCCGAGAAGGGGGAGGATGGAGGAGGAATTGGAGGAGGAGGAGGAGCAAGAGGAGGGAGGAGGAGGAAGAAAAAGAGGACGAGGAGGGCGAGCAGAAAGGCCAGAGGCCTCTTGGATGCTTGTCGGAGTCTTTTTGGATGTCTCTTGAGAGTTTCTGGGAGTCCTCTCGGGGCGTTTTGGGAGCCTCTTGGCGATCCCGGGGGCCTCTTGGAGCGTCTTCGGTGCCTCAGGGGAGACTCTTGGGGGCCTTCTTAGGGGCTTGCTGGGGGCCTTGAAGGCCGTCTTGGAACCATCTTGTAGGAATTCGATCAAAAAGGATTGGTCCCCAATCAGGGTCCCCCCTCTAGGGCCAATGAAATCGCCTCTTAGGCCCCTCTTGGATCGCTCTTGGGGCCGCTTTGGGAACCTCGTGGGCTCCTCTTGGGGCTCTCTTGGGCCTTGCTGGAGCCAACCTGAGGCCTGCGAGGGCCGTCGAAAGCGAAAAGGAAGGAATGCACAAAATAGTGAGGTTCCTCCGGCAGTATGCTGACACCCTCGCCATACCAGTCAAAAACCAATGCCGTGTGAGCGCGCGTCCACGCATGATCTAGATTTTGGTGCAAAGTGCAGTTTGCATTGTTTCTTGCAAGGCGTGTTTGGGGGGTGCTGGCATTGCACACCGGAAAGAATCTGCTGCACCCCCCTCCGTCCTTTTCAAAAACCTTTCGAAGTGATCGCGGGGCGCCCGCGCATGATCCAGATGTTGGTGCAAAGTGCACCTTGTATTGTTCTCTGCCAGAGATGGTGGGGGGTGGCCTGCGCGCAGCAAACAATATGCTGGCACCCCCGCCGTCCCGATAAAAAACCAAAGCCAAGTGGGCGCGGGGCGCCGGGCAATGCTTCAGAATTGGAGACAAAGTGTATGCTATATCGTTTTCTGACAGGGATGGCGGGACGGATGTTGGCATGGGTGTCGCATGGGTCCGGATTGGCTGCCGGTCGGGTGGGCGAGGGGGTGTTTATTTATAAGGAACAATGATAAACAATGATAAACTTTTCTCCGAAGGGGAGGAAGGGGCTGGGAAGAGGAAACGCCCTAAAGCACGCACGAAGGGCTGGCGGGGTTACAAGAAAGTTTTCGCACACGTGCCATGTAGTGCCGTGCCGTTCCATGTTTGATTCTCCGAATGCGGAGGAGTTGCCGTGCCGCGAAGTGTTGCGATTGGTTTTAAGAATGCGAGACAGTGTCCATGCCATGCCGTACCGTGCCGTGCCGCTGAAGTTGCCGCACGCGTGCCATGTCTGGTTTTCCGAACTCCGAAAAGTTGCCAGACCGTCCTTGGTTTTTAGAATGCGGAGAAAAAGGCGTGCGCCTTGAAATGCCGCGCCCGTGAAGTTGCCGCATGCATGCCAGTTCTTGCCGTGCCGCGCCATGTATGGTTTTCCGACTGCGAATGCGTTGCATCGCCGTGCCGCGCCATGTCTGATTTCCCGAATGCCAGAACGTTGTTGCTCCGTGACGTGACAGGTTTTCAGAACGCGAAGAGGTTGTTGTGCCTTGCTGCCCTGCCGCGCCTGGTTTTCATAATGCGGAAAAATTGAAATGTTTTGCCATGCCTGGTTTTCCAAATGCGGAACAGTTGCCGTGCCGTGTTGTGCCGTGCCAGATTTCTCAGATCGCGAATCAGTTCTCATCACGTGCCTCGCTGGATTTTCAGAATGCGAAAAGGTCGCAGTGTTGTGTCGTGCCGTGCTTGGTTTTGAGCATGCGAATGAGGTTGCCGTGCCATGCTGACCAATGCGTCTGATCATGCAGCGTTCGTGTGCAGAGCCTGCACGCTAGCGCACTGGAGTCCCCAAGCCGCATTTGCAGCAGGAGATGTCCTTCGGGTCCTCGCGCAATTGTACGGGCTCGCCTCTTGGCATCGCTCGGACGTGTGCATTTTTCCTTTAGCGAGGGCCATCGAGGAGCATCCTTGATCATTTGGCGAAAAACCACGCATGAAACCCAAAAAAAACACAGGGAATGGACGTCCGAGCGATGGCCAGGCCGAGGCTTCGCCGCGCTGCCGCCCGTGAGCGCCTCGTGGGCACCCCGTGCGGTGGGTGGCTTTGCCGAGGCTGCGCCCGGTGTTCAACATAGGGATGTTCAAAACACATACGAACATCCAACAGTTCCAAACAATGCTTGCATTTAGGTGTTCGAGCTGGAGTGACTAGAGACATGGACGGGTGCGTTGGGATTTCGCTGGGTCCCCGTTTGATGGGCGCCCGTGGGCGCCTCGTGGGCGCCCCGTGCGCTGGGTGGCTTTGCCGAGGCCTCGCCGCACTGCCCGGCCGCGGGCGCCCCGTGGGCGCCCCGTGCTCCCGAGGGGGGGGTTTGCCGAGGTCTTGCCCGGCGGCCGCCTCGCGGGCGCCCCGTGGGCGGCCGCACGCGCCTGCACCACACGTGCACGCCTCCTCCTTCCCCTTTCCTCCTCCTCCTTCCTCCTCCTCCTCCTCGTCCTCCTCCTCCTCGTCTCCTCCTCCTTCCTCCTCCTCCTCCTCCTCCTTCCTCCTCCTCCTCCTCCTCCTCCTCCTCGTCCTCCTCCTCCTCCTCCTCCTCCTCCTCCTCCTCCTCCTCCTCCTCCTCCTCCTCCTCCTCCCCGGAAAAATTGGACAGGATCTGGACAGGATCTGGACTGGACCCGCGGGGGCCAGGAGAACGAGGAGGGGAGGGGGAGCAGGAGGGGAGATCCTGGTCCAACTCCTCTCCAAATCCTGTCCAAATCCGGTCCAATCCCCGCGTGTCCCGAAGAAGAATCCGCGTACCCCCCCCCCTACCGATGCACATGTTTGGACCGAACACGGCCAATTCCCTGATCGACGTGTCAGGGGAGGAGGTCTATCCACCTCCCAAGTCTTGGGTCCAGTCGTCGTGTCTGACGCGGGTTGACGCTCCGCTTCCGCGTATCTGTATATGCTTATGTTGGACGATCGCCCATCTTGAGTGTCAGATGGTTTCGTCCTGGCCAGGCCGCTACCCCCCTCCCCAACCTGGCCGTTTCGTACACAACAGATAATGCGGTGCGTATGCAGTGCTTTAAAGATATCAGGAGCGCTTGTCCTACGAGTTTTCTTCAACAAATACGATACGGGGCACAGGAGCGCGCCGCCAGCTCGAATGTCAATCTAAAACATATGTTTCCTAATAGTGCCTGTATGCACCTAGCCACCAAAATTGTCTCGCCTGCAGAACGACTACCAGAGTTCTGCGCGCGCATACTCGCTGGTCGCCTCGCCATTCAAACAAGTCAAACCGTGCGGGCCACACACGCGCGAATGCCGAAGCCGTTCAAGCGCCCACCGATTCTGTCAACGAATAGCATGTGGGTCACAGTCACGTGTCTCCGCGCACGCGCATGTCGAAATCTATCCTACACCAGTCGTTCTCTAAATTGTTCAACATAGGGGTGTTCAAAACACATACGAACATCCAACGGTTCCCAAACAATGCTTGCACTTAGGGCCTAGGGGTTCGAGCTGGAGTGACTAAAGACATAGATGGGTGCGTTGGGCTTTCGCTTGGTCCCCGTTTGATGGGCGCCCGCGAGCGGCTCGTGAGCGCCTCGTGCGTTGGGTGGGTGTGCCGAGGTTTCGCCTGGTGCCCGCCCGTGGGCGCCTCGTGCGATGGGTGGGTGTGCCGACATTTCGTTTGGCGCCCGCCCGCGAGCGCCTCGTGGGCGCCTCGTGTGCTGGTCGAATGTGCCGAACTTTCGCTTGGTAACCGCCCGTAGGAACCTCATGATTTGAGTGGGTGTTCCGAGGATGTGCCAGGTGCCCGCCCGTGGGAGCTTTGTGCATTGAGCGGCCGCATAGGTGGCACCTCACAGCTTTAACCCGAACAGGTTGCACCACACATATCAGACCGCACAGCTTACACCGCACAACACACACCACTGCGCAGCTTTCGCCACAAATCTTACATCACACTGCTTACACCACACAACATACGCCACAGACATTGCACTACATAGCTTCCACCACGTGCTTACACAACGTA